TTCAGACTCATGATACAGAATGAAATACCTGATGATCAAGTGAAGGACACTACAAGTGAACAACCAGAAAAAGGTCTGAGAGACATTTTGACATTACAGACTGTATCATTTCATAATATCCATCATCAGGGATGTGACTTGTTTTTAAATATGCTGTTTTTTTGTTGATTCACTAGGATTAACAGACCATGAGATTCTCTCCCAATCCTTTATTTTTATCATGGGTGGTTATGAGACTACAAGCACGACTCTCACTTTCCTTCTCTATAATCTTGCTATTAATCCGGACTGCCTGGAAAAGCTGGTTGAGAAGATCGACAAAAACTTCCCTCTTGATGTGAGAACACTTCATTCTGCCTTCTTCATTTTTTTGTATAGAGCAGCGGTTCTCAAACTTTTTCACATAGTACCACCTCAGAAAAAGTCTCTCTCCATGTACTACCAAAACGATCAGGGGTGCGTTTCCCAAAACCCTCGTTAGCCAACTAAGGTCACAAGTTCCGTTGTTACAAACATAGTTTGTTGATTTGCCGTGTCCCCAGTCCGTAGCTCCAACGAACATTCGCAAACTGCGTCGCAAACTTGAGCGCTCGCATCTACACCTCTGGAGCTGTAGTTCGAAACATAGTTCCTGGCTGTGTTCTATTCTCACTTATCCCCCCTATGCCCTATTCATTTAGAACACTCTAACATTCAAAGTTGGAATTATGAAAAGTAAAAAAAGCATTAAGGTCATCTCTCTTAGGTGTAATTTGCTTTCAAACTATTTTTTACCGTTCATTTTTAGTGATCTTCATGTTAACAATTGTGCTCCCTTCGCAGTACACTTTGAAAACATTGATGTCATTTTGAACACAGCCTCATAGCGAAAGCTATAGGTGACCTATTATTTAAAAGCGGAATTTATGTTACATCTCCAAAGCTTGTGAAACAAAAAGCATACAATAATTATCATTTATTGTGGGTTATTTATTAAGTATCTGTACTGTATATTGTCAGGGCCAGTAAACAGAAAAAAACCCAAATGCAGGTGAAGACAATGATTTATTGTGGAAGGCAAAAATTCTAACAGATCAGTTCATTAGCCAGAATGCAAAATTGAAAAAAAAAAAATCTTCTAAAGGCAATGTCTCAGTCTCAAGGGAAAATGCACAAAAACCTCAGTTCGACAAATAGGAAAAAAAATGCTCTTCAGCAAGCAGTCCTCTCAGCCTGATCAAGAAAGAACAAAAAATATTATAGTCCAAAAAAATGAACAAAAAATGACAAAAAAACACTTGCAGACTTTGATGGAGGGGAAGAGAATGACTGGAAATAACCAGGAACAAAAAATAGACTGGCCAGTAGAAACAGAGGCGGGTGTAATTGTCAGAACCACGCCAGTGTCCAGGACATCAAAAACTCAGGCAGCACAAGAGCAAAAACTTCGAGCAAGCCAGGGACTACACAGAAAGGCTGGGAAGGTAGGGAGAGAGTCCTGGAGTCAAACAGAAAAAGGTTAACTAAAAACATTAAGTTTCCCTATAGTTGATGTTGCAGGGTCAGAAGCAAACAACAATCTGGCACTGAACCGCAGAAACCCAGAGAATAAATAGGGGAGCTAATGAGGAGAAAATAAGCAAAGACAGGTGAAGCAAATCAACTAAAATTATGAGAACGAGGAGGTGGAGAGAAACAATCAGGAGCACAAACAAAGGAACATGTGGCTAATACAAACAGAACAGATAGAACCAGCCGATCAGCCAGGAGTCCTGACATATATGACATGGGCCTGCCTGTTGGAACCTTCTGCTGTGGTTTACAGTGTCAAATTGTAAAAGTAAACTTTTAATAAATAAATAAACAATCTCCTACCTAATAATAATAATCATCATCATGATTATTAATATTATTATTAAAGTATGATTTTTTTCATGTCTAATACATGATAATTACATTTCATTTCTTGATAAATAGCCTCATTATTTATTAGCATATGATATGTCCCTATATGTGCTATATATATCAATTAATATGGAAAGCGAGTGCATGTTTTTACCTTATGGATTTTATTTTAAATGCATGTTTGTGTAAAACAATATAATTTGCACAAAGAAATGATGGGGTTCTTCTCTGAAGAAGTTGTTACTCCACCCGGTTTTGGGCGTCATTATGGGCGTTTTACGTTATAACTAACGTGGTTCAAGTGATGGATCTGTGACAGAGAAACTACGAGTTTTGGGAAACACTTGTCACTACATCGTTCTTTTCCCAAACGATGCATTGTACCTTGATAGTTCAGCTGCGAGTCACGTCATTGTTTGGGAAACGCACCCCAGTACAGTAACAGACAAATACAGTAGTGTAGTGGGCCTAATTAAGCAGCCGCTTCTGCACAGTTCAAAAATGATTCATTTCTAATAAGAATATTTGTTATTGTCAGCCACTTTAAACATTAGACATAGTTTGAACATTAACATTGTACTCTGCTTACAGGTATAAATAAAAACCTTTATTGTTTAAATTAAAAATACACTTTTAAAGAGTTAATTAAAAATTGCGCATAAAAATGAATGCGTTAGGTGTCTCCCAACCAGCAGCTCTAAAAATGTCTGTTAAAGAAGTGCCATGTGCAAATGCCCCAGGAGGAGACAACGCTCCTTATAAGTTCGCTCTCACCCCTGGGGGACACTGCTTAAATCGTGATCGTAGGCTCCAGGAAACAAATGCTGATGACATCAGTGGTATTGTTGTGCATCAAAGGGCTAAGTGTGTTCATTTTTTTATTTCATTATTCAGTGATTCCTGAGAAGGAAGCCTGCGTATCCATGAGTGATACATGTACCACAGTTTGAGAACCCCTGGTAAAGAGTCTAGATCAAGGCAGATTTAGAGCTTCAGCTGTTTTAGGAACATGAAGAAAATTAAACAAAATCATTATATTCATTAGAAATATCTTTTTTTTTGTATTCTTCAGACTCCCATCTCATACGATGCATTGATGAAAATAGATTACTTGGAAATGTCTATAAATGAGTCAATGCGTCTCCTACCCACTGCCCCACGCTTGGAAAGGGTCTGTAAGAAGACTGTAGAGATGAATGGCATCACCATACCAAAGGACACAATGATTACAATTCCTACATATGTTTTAAATCAAGACCCGCAGCTCTGGGATTCCCCTCATGAGTTCAGGCCTGAAAGGTGATGCATGTAAATTCTGAACGTTTCTTTCCTTGCCACAGTTTTTCTCACCTCAGTTTTCCTTACATATACATTTTGCAATGTTAATAAATAAAAAGAATGCTTAAAAAAACATTTTTATAGATGTAAGAAGTATTAAACTGAAGAATTACGAAACTTTCTGATTCCTCTCTGCAGGTTCAGTCCAGAGAATAAGTCTGAGTTTCTCCAGTACGCTTTTATGCCTTTTGGACTCGGGCCTCGAAACTGCATTGGAATGAGATATGCTCTAATGATCGTAAAGCTTCTTGTTGTGAAGCTGCTACAGAACTTCAGTGTAGAAACATGTAAAGAAACGCAGGTTGGTACACTGATCATAGTCAGTCATCACAAAGTGTCAATGAGGCTGTTTTGTTTTTTAATTAAGATTTTTTTTTATTTTCAGATCCCTCTAGAGCTGAATCCTGTTTTTCAGCCAAAGGTTCCCATCACACTGAAGTTAACACCCAGGAAAAGGAATAATTAAAATACAGAACATGTTTATGTGATTGTGCAGATTATTTTAGAACAGACACACAGACAGGCAGGCAGGCAGGCAGGCAGACAGACAGACAGACAGACAGACAGACAGACAGACAGACAGACAGACAGACAGACAGACAGACAGACAGACAGACAGACAGACAGACAGACAGACAGACAGACAGACAGATAGATAGATAGATAGATAGATAGATAGATAGAATTTTAAACAATTTTTCATATGCTATCAGTCTTTTATATTTAACCTGTACAGCATACTTTTTTAATTTATGATGCTGATAAATCCTGATTCATTTATTTTGAAACGTAAGTGCAACAGCATGTCAAAATAACAATACAATTGTACTGTATATGTCAAATATACAACATTATAAACCAAGCACTGATTGCTGTATAAATGATGTGTAATTAATTAACTCTTAGTAGCTGAACAAAATACCTCTACTTTTAATTAGATTAAGGGATAAATGTAACCTTTTTCCAATCTTTTTTTTCTTTTACATCTGCTCTGAAATAAAAACTACTTGGTTTATAATCATAAAACATTAAATCAATATCGAAACAAATGAGATGTATAAACGTTTCACAAAATAATACTAATAAAACCGTAGATTTTAAAATAATTCACTTATTTATTAATTATGCTTTGGCTTAGTCCCTTATTTATCAGGGCTAGTCACATCGGAATAAACCACCAACTATATGGCATATGTTCTCCAGCCGCAACCCAGGACTGGGAAACATGCATACAGTTGCATTCAGACACACGTCCAATTTAGTTTATCCAATTCACCTATACTGCACGTCTTTGGACTGTGGGGGACACTGGAGTACCTAGAGGAAACCTATGCCAACACGGGGAGAACGTGTAAACTCCACACGGAACTGGCAACTGGACCAGTCGGTACTTAAACCAGTGACCTTCTTGCTGTGTGGCGAAAGTCCTATCCTCTGAGCCGCCCTGTTAAAAATGATAAAAGGTAAATTTAACTTTAAATTTAGAGCTGACTAATGCCTTAATGTATAGTATAGTGTGTCTTTATGGATTTGAAACCTTGATATAGCAAAAGATATGATGAAAGAATTTTGTTTTAATGACAAATTCACAAACATCCAAAATAATATCTTGAGTCATTTTGCATAAAGTGGATTTTCTCTTTGGGGGAATCTAAACACCTGAGCTTACTGGTCCATAGATAAACGCCTAACAATACATTTGTGTGTCATGGGTTACATATGAAATGTAAATATGAAACAGTAAATCAGTAATGAAACCAGAATTTGTTTAAACATCTTAGTGTATGAATTTCATATACAGCAGTTAAAATAAGTATCAAATATGCCACCGTTTTTTAGAAAACATATTTCTAAAGGTGCTGTTAACTTGAAACTTTCACCAGATGTCAGTGACAACCAAAGTATTCCATACATTAAAGAAAACAAAACTAATTAGTTCAGAAAAAGGTGTGAAATGACAATGAAAAAGCATTAAACACATGAAGGAAGGGAGGTCTAAGTTGGCTTGATAAGCCCAGACATTAGCCCCTTTCACACAGTGATACCGGTAAATATCCGGAAAATTTACGGAACGACTTTACCGGTATATACAAAAAAGCGCTGTTCACACAGGCGAGGACGTTACGGAAATTTTCCGGAAAAGAGCATTCACACATCCATTCCAAAATACCGGTAAATTCTGACATCATTCACCACCAATGAGCTTTAAACGGCTGCGCTTGTATTTGTAAACATTTGACTAAATTACAGACTCTTTTGATGATCAATATTGTAAACAACTTTCACAGGATCATATTCGCATGTCGAGATGTTCATAATATGTGCGTCTGTAGGCGCTCACAGGCTGTTTCATGGGCACACGCAAAGCTTGAAGGTAAACAAACAACGGCTTATCATAAGCATCTTATCGATGATTATTTGCACAGTTGGCATTAAGGATAACATATAAACGTGATCTGACTAACTTCTAGCAGCTAAATGCGTCTGGAAAAATATTCAAAGGCTTTTATTCTCACAAACCGCGCGGACGTAAATGCGTCTGACTGTTGTGATTGGCTAAAGCAGAAGTCTTACGTCAGCGCGTTCTAGACGTGCACGCGCTTATTCCGGAAATATTCCTTCTGCGTTCACACAGCGCAGCATTCCGGCAAATTGCCGGTAATGTTACAACTTCTCTTTCCGGAAAATAGCCAGAACGAATTTACCGGTATTTTCAAAAAGGGCCTGTTCACACATACAACCTTTCCGGAAAATTGCCGGTAATTTTCCGGAAAGGTCTGTATGTGTGAAAGGGGCTATTAGCTGAAATCTTTCAGATTTTAGAAAGCAACCCTGCTCCTCACAAATATACATGAATATTAACTGCTTCACTCCAACATCTACATTACCAAATGATAATTAAACTCTCGATTGCTTTCAGAAAAATAAAATGAAGCTGTTAAAATGGCCCAACCAATCACCTGACCCAAATCCAATAGAAAATAAGAACTAAAGATCAGAGATGATAAAAGAGACCCTCCGAACAGAAGTCAAGATATATTTATTCCTTTATTCTGGAAAAAAATCACATGTGACCTGAGCAATGCATGTGACTCATTCTCCATACAAGATTTAACTTGAAGAAGTATTTCATACAAAATACATTTCAGTACTTCCTCCTTGTGAAATAATTTCAAATAAATAGTTTTTCAAAAAAAATTGTGTGTGTGTGTGTCTATATATATATATATATATATATATATATATAAACCATATAAAATTAATTATTAATAAATGACTAAAACACTACAACATTCCCACTGTATAAATTATCTCAAATAATATGATTACTTCATCACACGTTCTGGACTTTTAGATGCAGACTGACAAAAAAGCTTATAGATTTAATACGTGTAATGTAAAAAATATAGTTACTCTGTCAACAATATATGATTTTATGTCTCACTGATCAATGTTAATTCCATAGGCTGTGCAACGCCCACTGATTGGTAGGTTTCCAACAGACATCCGAAACAGCCAGTAACAAACACGATCACGTGGCGCCCTCTGTACATATTTACAATTCACTAGAGAAATTATCAGTTCTGCGTGTAAAACATCTTTTCAGTAAGGATTAATGGCAAATATTATGAACCATATTAATAAGTCATCAGTTCATTACTGAATACCCGTGTGAGTGAAACGGTGATATTGCAATTTGACATTAACGTTAATCTGTGATTAAAGTTTGTCTCTTTTATATGTGCTACGTAAAATCTGAAGGCGTATATCAGCTGGTCAGTGTAGTGAAAAGCGCGGGTTTTATCAAATATTGATAACATGTTTGATGTTTGATTAAGTTTCGGGTTTGACAAAGGGTGTCACTTTATACCGTGAAAGTACAAAAGGACTCCAATAATATCTAGCTGCAGGCCCGCAGAACCACACACTTTTGAGGCACACACAATCTAGGACACACAATCTAGGCAAACCATATATGGTAACTAACTCTTTAGCATTATCGCCATCTATTGAATTTCACAGATATGGTTTCCCATTTCAGTCATTATTATTATTATATCTTAACGATCATTTTAACATCTCTGCAGTTTTTGAACTTAAATTATGCAAATAAAAATAATTGGTTAAAGAAACTTATGACTTTATTAATGTGTCCATATACACAAAGAAAACATAATAGACCGTCTAATTGTTGGATTAAGTGTAATAAACTAATTCAAGCTCTTAATATTATCATACTTGGTTAAAATCACTTTGTTGTAAAATATAAAAAAGCAAACAATAATATGTCACTTTAAAATAAATTAGCCTACTACAGTTAACCATTTAAACAATATATAGTTATAAACTAATTATCTTAAGTGATTATAATCATAAGTTTATATATAAACTACTATTTAACTAAACTGTCACTGTTAAAGCTGTTATATATATATATGTATGTATATGTATATATATATATATATATATATATATATATATATATATATATATATATATATATATATATATATATGTGTGTGTGTGTGTGTGTGGATATATATATATATGTACACTTATGATTTTTTATTAATAGTTAATTTGTTCCTATTTGTTTCCTATTACTGTAGTATTAAATTACTACAGTATTAAATGTGGGAAATCATTAATTAAAAGGTTATTAGAAAATTAAGCTAATAAACACTATTAAATCGCTTGAATCACATATTAATATAGTGTTATACATTTGTTACATGTAAAAAGATTTTTATTACATATAATGTATTATTGCCTATATTAACTTAAGCTATTATTTCCTTCATCATAAATTAATCCATTATATAAATTAAACCTGTCCAAATGAGATCATTCAGCAAGGCCAGCAAACCAGTATCCGCCATATTATTATCAGGTAATAAAGATTGATCAGCTATAATGACTGATTAAAAACTGTTCACTTATATTGAATAACCATCGGAAACAATGCTCCCCATTCGGCCGTCTCAGTCGCAATATTTGTGAAATAAAGTAAAGTAAACACTATTGTTTATTGTGTACAATACTTATTAATCATATATATCCAAATATATCGATGACGATGTCCAAAAAGACGTTATAACTTTAACATTCGTCGTAACCATATATGGTTTGCCTAGATTGTGTGTCCTAGATTGTGTGTGCCTAAAACGTGTGTAGTTCTGCGGGCCTGCAGCTGGAGGGACGCGCTAACGTGTTGAGTAAAATAAAGGTTTGTTGAGTCTCAGGTTTTGCTTAGGTTTTGCTCTGCTCTGAGGTGAGTAAAATCCACGTGATACTCTGTTTAACACTCAAGCCGAACTTTGGTTTTGTGGGTGTGTGCCTTTCGTCATTATTCATAATAAATGCATTACTGACGGTTTATGACTGTTTATCATTGCTCAAAAAGGGAAAATGTATGTTGATTCATTCCTTATTTGGTCTTCATTCACGCCTGTATTCTACGCCCACTTCTGGATCATCCTCCGGCGGAACGGGAATAAATACAAATGCAAACCAACAGCACCGGTGTGTTTAAGGCCACTACACTGAAGAATACAGTGATTTACAATGATTGATCTCTCATCTCTGTCTGTGACATGGACCCTGGTGTTTCTGGTTATAACCCTCCTGTATATGTGAGTAATTATTTACAATAACAGGTAACATTACTAATAACAGCTAATTGTGATGCAATATTCTGTTGTGAAGTAATTTTTTCTGTTTAAAATATTCCTTTAAATAATAGGTGTGTGTCAAGTCGTATATTGTATCACACTACAGTTAATACAATTTATGATCTTTGTTTATATATCTCTTGTCTGTTTGTAATCTAATATCTTTGTTACTGACCACACACTAGGTATGGTGTTTGGCCACATGGATTTTTCAAAAAACTGGGAATTCCAGGACCAAGACCCTGGCCTTTTTTTGGCACATTTCTCTCGTACACTAAAGTGAGTATTTCATTATTTAATTACTGTAAAAATATCTAGAATAATTTGTATTTGAATTATCATAGAACAATAATATTTGTTTTTATCTCTCAGTAATTAAATGTCTATATTCAAATATATTTTAGGGCTTTTTTAATTTCGATATGGAGTGTGCCAAGAAGTATGGAAAAGTATGGGGGTAAGTCTCAGTTATACAATTCACTGTATGATTGATTAGTTAAAAAGGTTATGTCAAAATACTGAATAATAATGATCATTAAAAAACTTATATTTTATAGTATAATCAATTAATAATGAAAATGTTTTATAACAGCTTTCATTGGTCTGTCATTAAATATGAATGTTTCTTTTAGTCAGATTTATTGCGATATATATATATATAGCAGGGTTCGACACTAAGGACTTTTTATACTGGCCTCATCAGGTCAGTGGTTCAGATTTTTACTTACCCTGGCAAATTCTTACTGGCCCCACCGTGAAAAACAAACAAAAAAAAACGTTGTGTTTTTTAGCCACATATTTTAAAGAATGTGTTAAAATTCTTGACTTTAAAGATTTTACAAATGTTAATAAATGTAAAACGAGCAAAATTCAAAGTGTTATGCAAACAAAAAGAGTAGTATGGAAAATGTGCAGGTATTTTATTGGACTACTTATTTATTTAACAAAAGGTGGCTGCTAACTGTAAACTGCAAAACATCACTTCATGTTTTTGTTGAGTTGCACCCGCATAAATGTCTGCTTCATGATGTTAGAAACAGTTGTTTTCTTTTAACCTCATAATTTGATGTTGCCGCCGTGTTGTCGGCTCTTCAGTGTACTGTTTGTTGCCAGATTAATGGAAAAAAATAACGTGCTCACAACATCCAATCAGAAAAGAAATTGAAAAGCAGTATGATGTTACGACATTACAGAGATGGTGGCATTTAAATGCTTAAAAGCACAGACTATTTCTCGATTCTAAGACTGCATTTGCACGTAATTGATAAATAGTTCCAGGCAAATGAAGCCTTAGTGACAAGGCAGAACAGTTATTATCCTGTCTACTGTCCTAAGTATCTTTCACGCTGGCCCCAGGCCATCAGGCAGTCCTTTCTTGTTGAGCCCTATATATATATATAGTTACTGATGATTATTATGATTACTGACCTGATACCAAATGTTTCAATGGCATGGTATTTGTTATTTTTTTCATTGATTAGGATCTATGATGGAAGACTGCCGATACTAATGGTCACAGACTTGGAAATGATCAAAACGATTATGGTGAAAGAATGTTATTCTACCTTCACTAACCGAAGGGTGAGGACACCACAATTGTACTAGAAGGTTCAAAGGGTCATAACAACATTAAGTGCATTAGTGCTGTATTACCCAATAAAAATGCAACAATTAAAAAATATATAAATTTTATATTTATTCCAGGAAGTAAATGTGGATCTTGCTGGCCCCCTTGCTGATGGAATATCTGCAGTTAAAGATGAGAGGTGGAAGCGAATCCGTGGTACACTCTCTCCATATTTCACTAGTGGCCGGCTGAAGGAGGTACAGTGAAGGACTTTAAAGGTTCACCCAAAAATGAAAGTGCTGTTATTAAGTATTTACCCCCATCCTTTTCCAATCCCCTGAGTCCCTCCTTCATCCTCTGAACACAAATTAATATGTTTGAGATTAAATCAGAGAGCTCTTTAGTCCTCCATAGACAATGAGGTTCGTGATGTGTTTAAAATCCAGAAAAGGAACCAAAACATTCCATGTGACTTCAGTGTTTCAACTAATCATTCATTCAGTCATTTTCTTTTCGGTGTAGTCCCTTAATTATTCTGTGGTCACCACAACAGGTTGAACCGCTAACCGCATATGTTTTACACAGCGGATTCCCTTCCAGCTGCAACCCATCACTGGGAAACATTCATACACACTCATACACTACGGACAAATTAGCTTACTCAATTCACCTATACCACATGTCTTTGGACCTACACGAGCACCAGGCATGAGACGATAACCGTTTGGAAAAGTTTTAAAGCCGCCAAAATTTTCTGTAATACCATTTCTAAGGTATGTATGAGATTTTATATTGAATTTTTTTTTAGGACAACGATATCCAAAAAATAATATATATTGTTTTCAAAGGGGGAAAAAATATTTTTTCCCAGACAATTAAAGAAAAGATTTAAAAGCAGTAATCACAATACCGTGATACTATGAAACCGTAATATTTTTATCCAAGGTTATCATACGGTCAGAATCTTATACCGGCCCATGGCTAGTGAGCACAGGGAGAACATGCAAACTTTACACAGAAAAGCTAACTGACCGAGCTGAGCCTCGAGTTAGCGACATTCTTGCTGTGAGGAGATTGTGCTACCCACTGCGCCACCATGACGCCTCAACTAATCATACAAAGAACATTTGTGTGCACCCAAAAACTGTTAAAACACATCAGATCAGGGTGCACATTTACCAAGCTTGTGTGTTGCCTTTGTATTGGAGCTCTTGCATTTCTTCCAAAATATCTTAATTTGTGTTAAGATGGGCAAAGATTTCTCAGCGAATTTTTCAGGTGAGTAATTATTAACAGAATATTTATTTGGAGGTGAACTAACTCCTCAAGGCATAGTTCATGCAAAAATGAAAACTGAAATTGTGATGTAGAATATTTTTGTTAATAAGCACTTCTTTGACTGCTATATAATATTTTTATATTATTTGATGTTGATTTAATTGTTGTTTCTATGAAGTAACGCTTGTTTTAAATGTGTTTCAGATATTTCCTATAGCCATGACACATGCTGATCGGTTTATTAAAAATATGCAAAAGAGAGACCACGAGCAGCCGGTTAAAATAAAAGAGTATGTGACACATTTCCTTTATAACTTTGTTCATTACTTTAAACATGAACTTTACTTTCGCATTTTAATGCAGAAGTTTCACACAAAACTTATTTTCGGTGTGTAAAACTAATCAAATTAATATCATTCATCAATAAATTTGACTGATTATTGCAAATGATTATTATTACAAGCAAACATAAATGACCATTATATTATATTTTTGTTTTTCAGAGTTGTCGCTCCATACAGTTTAGATGTGGTCACCAGCTCATCTTTTAGCGTTGACATCGACTCTATTAATAACCCCGATGATCCCTTTGTTACCAACATAAAGAACTTTTTAAAGTTCAGTCTGTTCAGTCCTTTAATTCTTTTTTTGAGTATGTATATATTTTTTGTAATTACAATGAGCTTTTTTATTGTTGATTTGTATTTATGTTTTATAGCTATTCATTTTAACATGAAGTCTGACACTTCTTTCAGCTTTATTCCCCTCCATTGCAAATCTTTTGGGGAAAATGGGAATAAGTGTGTTTTCAAGGTCAATTATGAATTTCTTCTACACGGCCCTGAGAAAGATAAAGGACGAGCACAAGGATTCAAATGTATGTTTGTCATCTTTTTTGCACTCTTCAGATCCAAATTTAGATTTCGCAGAGATGCTGATGCAGCATAGATTATGATTAAAATTACATTTACTCATTTACTAGACACTTTTATCCAAAGCAACTTAGAAATGAGGCAATCATAAGGAGGCAATGCTAAAGTTTGACTACTACAGTTTATAACATTGTTCAAAAAATAAACGCTAGGGTTGGAGGGGAATATGGAAGCAGTGAGAGGTAATATTATGTTGTGTTTTTTTTAATCAGGGTCGAGTAGACTTTCTCAGGCTCATGATCCAGAATCAAATACCTGATGATCAAGCGAAAGACACCACAAGTGAACAACCAGTAAAAGGTCCTAGAGACATTTTGACATTACAGACTGTATTTTTCTATAATATCCATATGACCATCAGGGATGTGACTTGTTTTTAAATATGCTTTTTTGGGGGTAATTTACTAGGATTAACAGACCATGAGATTCTCTCCCAATCCTTCATTTTTATCCTGGGCGGTTATGAGACAACAAGCACGACTCTCTCTTTCCTCCTCCATAATCTTGCTACTAACCCCGACTGCCTGGAAAAGCTGGTGGAGGAGATTGACAAAAACTTCCCTCTTGATGTGAGAACACTTCATTCTCCCTTCACATTTTGTATAGTTTCTAGTTCAAGGCAGGTTTAAAGCTTCAGCTGTTTTAGGAATGTGAAGAAAGTTAAACAAAATCATTATATTCATTAGAAATATCTTTTTTTTTTGTATTCTTCAGACTCCCATCTCATACGATGCATTGATGAAAATGGATTACTTGGAAATGTCTATAAATGAGTCAATGCGTCTCCTTCCCACTGCCCCTCGCTTGGAAAGGGTCTGTAAGAAGACTGTAGAGCTAAATGGCATCACCATACCAAAGGACACACTGGTTGCAATTCCTACATATGTTTTAAATCGTGACCCGCAGCTCTGGGATTCTCCTCAGGAGTTCAGGCCTGAGAGGTGATGTTCTTTCCTTGCCACAGTTTTTCTGAAAAACATATGAATTTTACAGTATTAAAACGTTCTCATCGATGCAAGAATTGCAAAACTGAAGTTGTTTCTGATAAATCTCCGCAGGTTCAGTCCAGAGAATAAGTCTGAGTTTCTCCAGTACGCTTTCATGCCTTTTGGACTCGGGCCTCGAAACTGCATTGGGATGAGGTTTGCTCTAATGATCGTGAAGCTTCTTGTTGTGAAGCTGCTACAGAACTTCAGTTTGGAAACATGTAAAGAGACGCAGGTTGGTTCACTGATGGTCAGTCATCACATGAGGCTGTTTTGTTTTTTAATGAAGAATGTATATTTTTCTTTTCAGATCCCTCTAGAGCTGACTCCTGTTTTCCAGCCAAAGGTTCCCATCACACTGAAGTTAACACCAAGGAAAAGGAATAATTAAAATACAGAACATGTTTATGGAATTGTGCAGATTAGATAGAATTTTAAACAATTACATGCAGCTTTATTTTAAGTATCTATATTTTACAGCATGCTATCAGCCTTTTTTATATTCAACTTTTACAGCAGACTTTTTCAATGTATGCTGCTGATGATTCCTGATTCATTCATTTTGAGTAGTTTAAAATGTAAGTAAAACACTACATGTCAAAATGACAATTCAGATGTAATCATGTCTAATTAAATACCAGTATAAAGCAAGCGAGGCATTTTACACAGTCAGTTTTGTTTTTTACCCAGTGACTTTTTGTTTTGATTGAGCAAACACTGAGGTTTTAAGCTCAAGGAGGTGATTTTGATCAGGTTTTGTTTCTATGATAACTTACTATTTCTTTTGAGCTGTTGGTAAACCTACATTATTAAAACAAGTTGACTGATTTACATTTATATGATAATATTTGCTTTTAGTCTTCTCAAACTTTCACTGTATCAGCAGTTTATTTTGGCCTTGTGGATGTGTTTAAATTCATTATATTTCTGATAATAAAAGCTTAATCTTCAGCAAAGAATTGGATAATTGACTCTCTTGTGTCATGTGATTGGCTGTTTGTTGAGCGCGGTCCAGAGTAAATCACTAAACCCTGAGTTAACAAAGAAAGCTCATATCAATCATGACTGACTTGATCTTAACCAGTATGAATTTATTTAAATTTGTCAGCCTGAAGTTTACTCTGCAAACTAGAGATTGTTCAACTTGCTTTGTGCAACAGGCCTCGGGTTTCAAAAGCAATGCTAGTGAAAAACATTTGTTTATGAGTCAACGATGTGTAGCTCATTTTTACGTGTCCATGCCGTTTAAATCCATTCAAAAAGGTTACAGTTTCAAAATAAATAAGCAAATTACTTGCATACATTCTCTATTTTGAGGACCAAGTCTAACTTTTTAATTTTTAATCAATTTTAAGATCATTTTTAGGGGATTGTAGTAAGAATGTCAATGTGGTGTAACCAAAAAAATTGGTACTAAGTAGTTTATCTTGTTTAAAAAATGTGAAATTCTCAATGAAACATTGTATGAGCTAGTTTGGCATAATTTTACATTAGAAATATTTAATAGTAAATAAAGGTAAATATAGCACAATTGTTCTAAATATTAGAATTATTTGGGGAATCATGTCCATAAACTAAATTTCCTGAAATGTCAAGATGGTGTAACCACCATTTACTGAGTCATTTTGTTAATATTCTGCACAGATCGTGAGCGAAGAAATTGTATCACAGAGGAGGACTCTTGATAAAATTAATTGCTGCATAGTTAGGGTATGGTCAGGTATTCTTTGGTATGCATGTCAAATGGTAAGACCCCAGAAATTCACTGATCGTTATTATAAACAAAAGTATTATCTTTAAAATTTACATTTTAAATATTCCTACCAAACCCATGTGCTTACATAGATGCTGATGATAATGCCTGCCAAAATTGATTTTCAGCTGAAATGTCAAGTGGTGTAACTGGTTACACCATTTGACTCCTATTACATGAGTCTTTCTGTTGGGTCAATTTAGTCAAATATCATGATGCTGATTAAAAATACAATATAAATTAATCTACTATTTGGAACTATTTGTGTTGATTTTTAATAAATGGTGTGGCATTTTAAAATTAAGTATTTATTTCTTTGTGTACTCTTGCATGTGATCTAGGAGGAGTAAATTATTTAATATTTCACATTTTTTGTCAGTTACACTATTTGACATATTTGACATTCAGTCCTATTGTTTGTAAAGAAAAACGGTGCGAATGTTCTTAATTGCATAAATTCAACATGAATACCATCTGTATATTTTAAAATACCTGACGCATGCTTTTAAATCAACTTTTTACAATATTTTTCAATTTCTCATTTTGCCACACCTTATTTGTTGCTGACCCTTATGGAATTGCCTTTATTTCACATATATATCAGTCTTGCACATAATCTTACAGATAAATTATACAGCTGTTCTGGACTTTCAGACACATTCCTTTTTATTTTATAAATAATAGCAAAACCAGAAAATCAAACTGCCTACAAGATTTAGGTGTGATGTAGAAAACAGTGTTTTTCTGTCAACAGTAAGAATCTGTGGCACTGTTAACTGATATGTACCGCCCCCAACACTGATAGTAAATAACAGTGAATGTGATTGGTACTGTAGGTTTCCAACAGACAGCTGAAACAACCAGTAATATACACACACATGTAGTGCCCTCTATACTCAGTTACAATTCACAAGAGAATTGCATCAGTACTGTATGAACTTTACAGTGGGAAAGATAAGTTTTCTTTAAGATACTAAAGATTTGATTTGCTGACTAAAAAACCATATTCAAACTCCACTAGCTTTCACCCTGAAGTGGGAGACAGAGGTCAATATTACCATTTCACGTGTTTTACAGTTACTCAAGTCTAAAATGATTTCTAAAAACAAACACTAACCTGCAGATTTACCTATCGAACAGGTATCCCTATAAAATGATGGAATACAGTGTTACAATGCTTTGAGTTTATATTAATATCGCTCAAATCCCGCTTCTAATGAATAGTCAGTGACGACTTGATATGAAATTTCACACTTTAAAACAGTTATTAATTCGTGCGTGTCTTTCCTTCGTGTACGCTTTTTTATCAGAATAATTAGGTTTACGTCAGCTGATATTTGCTGTTAACGCTAATAAATGTTTCAACCTGCTGTTTTAATGCCTTATGTGGTTGTCTTGCGCACCTATAGCCTAAACCACACCTACTTCCTGGTTATAAATTTAAAACAATGTAACAGCGCGGTGTGCGTGAGGACTTATACTGAAGCTGAAGAATACAGTGATTTGCAATGATTGATCTTTCATCTCTGTCTGTGACCTGGACCCTGGTGGTTCTGGTCATAACCCTCCTGTTTATGTGAGTATTTAAAAACAGGTCAAATCAGCCATTTTTATCAATTATTCTGTGTTTCTACTGTTGATCATATGTCCCTGTTTAGAGGTCTAACATGTAAACATTTCAACTGCTGTTAAAAACACTGACTTTTTTTCTTTAACGTCGTTAATTGTCCTTTTTACTAAAATCGTTTGCAGAAAATTTTATGTTACAATTTTATATTTAAACCTGATAAACTCTTTTTTTCCCGTGCAGGATAGTTTCTTATAAGTTGTTAATTGATTGTCGGAAGTGTTAAAAATGAATGCATTTGAAAAGTTTATGTAACGTTAAAGTATAACGTTAGTTCGACAGGAAGACCATTTGCAGAACCCCCACAGAAAACTTATTAACACTGTTACTTAAGTAACTTACCGCATTTTGCAGGTTTTATTTTCAAGTAGAAGCACTTGCGTTGTTTTCGAACTGAAGTAATTAACTGGTTTTCTTTTAAATAGTTTGATAAACATATATTATTAAAGAAATATCAGGTTTGGCGTCGATATCGCCGTTTGTCATCTGTCCTCATATCTGGTTGCCATGGCTACTGCTCGAGCCCTCTCTGTAGTCTAGATAGGATACAGCTGCAGATATGCACATAACATCATTTTTCTGACACTGTATAACTGTAACCAATATTTTTACAGTATTTATTTCAATCATAAAACATCTTAATCAACTAAGAAGTCTAAATAGCAGCATCGACAAACAAAAGAACAAGGAAAAAAATATAAATAAATAGTAAAATACAATGCAATATAATACAACGGGGTTAATCATCAAAAAAAATAATTTAGCAGACTACATAGTTTAAGGGCTTTTTATGTCAAATGAGCTTTAAACAATTGAAGAAGACCATTAAATCTTTCTGGACAAGCAAATAAAGTGTGTGTGTGAATAATCTGCATTTATGGATGAAATAATGTGCCACGGTCACGATATTGTTAACCAAAAATTCCAGATCAGAATAATGATAAAATGATAAATATTTTACAGTTTTAAAGTCAAAATCAGATAGTACATACCTCAGTCTTTACCCAACAAAAAAAGTTATCCCAAAACTTTTTTAAAATGTGCATAAACAAAACATATTTTCCAATGACTCTATGTCTGCTTCGAAAAAGGTACGAACGTTACAATCCATATTAAATCTATGTCTGAGAAACTCATTACAAGGATAAATATCGTTAAAAATTTGGTAGAAATTGAAAAAAGAGAAATTTTGTTTAAACTCGAACCACATTATCTTGAGGAAAATTAAAAACAAGCGGTCTCTTCTTAACTTTAGAAGGGAAAGCTGTGTATTTACTAACGTTCCTTAAGTCGTATTAATACAGCCCTGCCCTGTAAAATTAATACCAGATATAATTAGATTGCCCAATCTTGATATTACAAAAGAATAACCCAATTCCCCTTTGATCTTTATAAATAATCTAAATAATTCTCTTTATCTTCAGGCCTATGGGGGAAATTGCTAGGAATAACTAATGTGTTTAACTATTAGGGCTTCGTGCTTTTTTACAAAAATTTAACGTTGTCATATTTTGGTTTCTTCGGCATGTTTTGCAATAAAAATACAATTACACCAGATGACTTGAATAACACTTTTTGGGAAGAATGTATAATTTTAGATTGATTCTGATGATTTGATTATAATACAGAAATCTGTATGTTAGTCAAATTGCCAAAATTGTTAGTGTCCCAGTTTGGGGGTTAAAAATAAACTTTAATTTAATGAATGTTGTGTTTCATTTTGGTCTTATATTATAATTTATCACACTGTAGCTATGGAGTTTGGCCGCATCGTTTTTTCATCAAACTGGGAATACCAGGACCAAGACCTTGGCCTTTTGTTGGCACACTTCTCTCATATGCTAAAGTGAGTATTTCATTATGATACAGGTATATCACTCTTTTCCCTTTCATTTAATAATCGACTGTGTATTTTAGGGTTTGTGCAATTTTGATATGGAGTGTGCTAAGAAGTATGGAAAAGTTTGGGGGTGAGTCTCAGTTATGTATTTACTGTTTTAAAGAAATAGGTCAATGAAATTATATATATATATATATATATATATATATATATATATATATATATATATATATGAGCAATATCACACGAGTAGCAGTGCGTTATGGTTGTATATCGGAACTGCTGGAAGGCGTGCGTTGGCACGAGGCCGATATACAGCCATATCGCACTACTATGAGTGTGATATTGCATTTATACAACAGTTTGATGGCGTAATTGTGTATATAAAAACAAAATCAAACATGGACAGTCTCAAAAACCCTTTTGTATAAGGAACTACTTTCTTCCGCGTTGGATTCAAATCATAAGCTGACAGTTAAGCAGCTGAGCAAGCATCTTTTAAACTTTAGATCTGTAGTGTCTGCTTTTTGCTGGCTGTATGTGGGCGGAGTAATACACAAAAGGTAAAGAGGCTGTACAGGTGCTGATATTACTTAAATATATCACAGCTATCAGCCAATCAGATTCGAGAACCAGACAGAACTGTTGTATATATATAATATATATGTATAAATGTGTGTGTGTGTGTGTGTGTGTGTGTGTTGTAATGTAGTTAGGGATGCGGTTAATAGTTTCCAAAATAGAAAAAATTATAAACCTAATAAAAAGAATAAAATAAATAGGCATGTCTGAGATATTTTTTTCACTTAAATAAAAAATTTAGATTTCTAAATGAAAACACTGACTGAATCATTTTAAAGAACCAGCATAGGCTGTTTTTTACCCATCATTTGTTTTAGCAGGCTACCTCAAATCAATCGATCCACGAAAAATATGCATTTAATTAATGCTCCGCTGTTATTCTTATATCACAAACCTCTGTCGTAATTTTTAATAGAAGTCATTATTCAAAGATTATGTCTTGAGCGTCTGGTTTTAGCTTAGGGCTTGTGTGCTTTTATTTCCTCTCTTACCCTTACTCTGCATGTGATGAAAGGCAATGACAAGGTTCATAATGATTTTTTTTGTAAAGTAGTTATAGTTATATAGCATATAACACATTTGTTGTGTACATAAAATATTGCATTTCTTTGCATACATGTTTAATCTATAAAATAAAACATTATAAAATAAAATATAAAATATTAGGCCATGTAGGTTTATTAAAAAATTTATATTTTATTTAACTATTTATAACTAATTCTCCAAATGGAAAAAAGGTTGGTTTGTAGGTTGTACACTAAATCATCACAACTATAGCCTATTTGTTGTGTTTATGAGCTGTGCGGAGCGCACCCTAGTTCACCGTTACTTTAAACTGGAGAAAATCCTGAAACTCTGACTTGTGGCTGGCTTGTTTCCAAAGCAGCGCACATTTCAGAAAGTTTTGTTTTGCGGCTTCTTTCTCTAACTGTGCAAATAAACAAAAGTGTATATGATGCTGATCCAGGGCAGAGGCAATCAGCATCAGCACTGGTTTGGCATAAAGTTGTCTGTGTCAAACTGTGACCAGCAATAATCTTCTTTCATTTTGCTCCTTTGGCGAAATATGTCTGGAGGCACGTGTGGTTGCATGTGTGGTTGCACGTGTTACCGCCCCGCAGGTTAACAAATATGTGGTGCACATTTATGCAGCCAATAAAAATATATATATTTTTTTTTTTTATCATTTAACTGATACCTAAATTTGGTTAAAAACGCACCCTTTCGGTCAACGGTGAATCGATTATTCTGAGCATCCCGAAATGTATTGTGTTTTAGAGGATGTTTTTAAAAGGTACCTACTGGAAGTTTGTTTACATTGTACAGGATTTGCATTTTAGAAGTTTGTTATTATTTTAATTTCCAAAAGGTATTTTATAATTAAGTTTTCAGCTTCTATACTCTCAAAATGATACCACATTCATCTATTAATATATATATATATATATATATATATATATATATATATATATATATATATATATATATATATATATATATATATATATATATATATTTTTTTTTTTTTTTTTTTCTCAGCATAAATGGCATAAAAAAATCTCCAGATTCTGTCTTACCCTACAAGGTCTTTTAATTAGTAAAGCAGGTGTTTGCCTGGCTCATCGTTACTATAAACTGCTCAATATTCCTTTCATTGCTCAGGATCTATGATGGAAGGTTACCAATACTAATGGTCACTGACCTGGAAGTGATCAAAGTGGTTTTGGTGAAAGAATGTTACTCTAACTTCATTAACAGAAGGGTAAGCTCTCCAAAACACAAACGCAGCTTTGTACAAGGAAAGTGTTATTATGGCAGTTCATAGACAGCTGAAGGTCTGGTAGTGATAATCATTTTGTCATTTATACAGAAGAGGACGACAGGACTGGCTGGCCCCTTTTCCGATGGCATAATTATGGTTAAAGATGAAAGATGGAAGCGAATGCGCAGTACACTTTCTCCATATTTTACAAGTGGGCGGCTGAAGGAGGTACAGTGATGGCCTCTAATATGAACTCTAGCATACATTGGAGACTTTATATTATGACGGTTATTAACATGCTCTAAATGACATTTCTAACTATGTTTCAGATATTTCCCATAGCTATGACACATGCCGATCGTTTTATTAAAAATATGCAAAAGAAAGACCCCGAGCAGCCAGTTAAAATCAAAGAGTATGTGACATTTGTCTTTGAGTAAAATGCATAACTTTACATGACGATGATAATGATTCAATTATAAAAGTTTACAAATGAAAACCACATTGTAACTTCTTGTATGATTGATAGTGGTTTTCAAGTATTATTATTTAGATGATAACAATATTTTATATTTATTGAAAAAAAAAACTATTTGTATTTCAGAGTTGTGGCTCCGTACAGTTTAGATGTCATCACCAGCTCATCTTTTAGCGTTGACATTGACTCCATAAACAACCCTGAAGATCCTTTCGTTATCAACGTCAAGAAGTTCATACAGTTCAATATGTTCAACCCTCTCCTATTGCTAATACGTATGTTTATGTTTGTTCTTTTATCTTGGCAGGTAAAGAGAAAAGAGAAATAACAGTTACATTAATTTTCTTGTTTCAGTTTTGTTTCCTTCTCTTGCAATCCCTTTGAAGAAAATGGGGGTAACTCTTTTTTCAAAATCAGCCATGGATTTCTTCTACAGTGTTCTGAAAAAGATTAAGGATGATCACAACAAGGAATCAGAAGTAGGTTTGTCACCGTTTCACTTTTGTGCTGTTTAGATTCGACACTGATGGTGATCATGTGTGTTTTTTTAACCAGGGTCGGGTAGACTTTCTCAAACTCATGCTGCAGAATCAAATACCTGATGATCAAATTCAGGACAGTGACACAAGTGAACAACCAGCGAAAGGTCTGAGAGCCATTTACACATTACTGAGTGTTTGACTTTGAATCCATTATGAATGAACATTTTGAATGTGACTTTTTTTCCAACTGTGCTATTTTGCGGATTTAATAGGACTAACAGACCATGAGATTCTCTCCCAGTCGCTCGTGTTTATCCTGGGTGGTTATGAGACTACAAGCACAACTCTAACTTTCCTTCTCTATAATCTTGCTACTAATCCAGACTGCCTGGAAAAGCTGGTGGAGGAGATCGACAAAAACTTCCCTCTTGATGTGAAAATTTCATTCTGCTCTCTTCCGTTTTTATATAGAGTCTAGTTTAGAGAAGTTTTACATTTTAAGGGTTTGTTCACCCTGTAAAAATGTCATTTCTTTTGTTAAATACTCACCCTCATGCCCTTCCAATCTTCTTCCAGATATCATTTGTTCATCTTCAGAACACAAGATTAAATATTTTAGAAGAAAAACGAGAGCTCTCTCATAGAGAGAAACGTTTTAGCCCAGGAATGCCCAAAATTTTTCGTATGAAGGGATAAAAACCAAATATCATTGAGAGCTGTGGGCCGAAGATAAACATGTTTTACATTAAAAGCTGCCATGGGTAATTTCCTAATTTGTTCAATAATATTTACAAATACATAGAAAAACAATACTTTGAATCGTATTAACAAATGCAGTTTAACTTTTTTTAATGATAACTTATTGCAATAAAGACATGAACAATCACATTTAAAACAGTGGAGTTCAATGCTGAACACACTAGTCAAGAAGAATCTGCCTTTGCCTTGATTTGTTTAAAGTCTGCATTGTCCTCTATCTGTCAGGTGACAGTATGTACATTTTAAACTAAATTACAGCAGTCAAATTGAAACATTTAATTTCAGTTGGCTGTTTTTGTAGCTTAACAATGTAACAAACAAATAAAAGGTTACAATAAATTTTAAAAGACAATCTTCAAACCATGCCCCTCATTCTTCTCAGATTGGAAGGTGGGCCAAATGCAGGCCCTAGTTTGGGCATCTGTTTTAGACACTTAAAGGGTCACGAAACACCAAAACACATTTTTTGAGCTGTTGACAGTCGTATATGTGTCCCACACTGCTAAAAACACTATTAGGACACCTATATTTCACTAAAAAGTGTAAATTGGTTGTTTATGCGTTATTTCAAGCAAATTCGTACTTCTGGTTCGAAACAAATTTTTGAAGCTGCGTCACGGCCATGAGATAATAGCGTGTATTCCAGCGTGTAGACTGGACGTCTGTGCCAGAGTGTGTCTTATTACGTCTTACAGTGTGTTGCATTAATGCATGAGTAAGGCTTGGTTCAAACCAATCAACGCGCTCTATTGTGCAACTTCATTAATATTCATTACTGTCACAGTGTTTAGACGACAGAGACGCCACGATGTATTGGCAAAACAAGCGTGAAGTGTTGTTTTTATATTTTGCTGCAGTTTAGTTTTGTTTTCATTATCTCTCTGTGAGAGCTCAGCTGGAGTCATATGTGGAACCACTATAGTCACACTAAACATTTTGACAATATTTTTGGTCTGAAAAAATGTTTAGTGTGACTATAGTGGTTCAACTGTAATCATATAAAGCTCCAAGAACACTTTTGTGTGCCAAAAAAATAAAAACTGACATTTTTTCATGTCTTCTGCAAGAAATCAGGGTGTGCGTTTTTATGGGCAATATGATGCTTGCATGTTATGCTGATGACAGTGCACGTTATGATTCTGCCAAGTACGATGCAATCCTGGATCCTGGATAATGTTGATACATCATTTTTTTTTTTTTTTTGGAGAAAATTTTAATTCATACCTATTTCCTACCCCTAAACCCAAGCATGACTGTAACTTATTCCTAAAATCAGAAGGGAATAATAGTTGGATAACAATCATTTAGAAGTGCATAAACATAACCGTAAGTCTAAACTTATAATATAAGCCTAACATATCCCTTAATTCTGATTGGCTTTTTAGAATGTTGTTTCAGGATCAACATAGATGTTAATCCAGAAACACTTGGTGAATTTGCGTTGGTGGGATGACGATCGTGACATGATGTTGTACTGCCAATAATAAATACGCACACTGACAAGGAAGAAAAGACATTGGTGAACAAAGCATTTTTACAGTCTATTTTGGTGCACAAAAGTGTTCTTGGAGCTTCGTATGATTTTAGTTGAACCACTGAAGTCACATTGAATGTTTTGACAATGTTTTTGGTTCATTTCCCTAACATCTCAGGACACTTGTCGCTATAAAGAAAGACAGAGCTCTAGGATTTCATCTAAAATAACCTGAATTGTGTTTTGAAAATGAATAAATGTATCAGGGGGTTAGAACAACATAAGGGTGAGCAATTAAAAACAGAGTTTTAATTTTTTAATGAACTAATCGTTTAGAGAACAGGAAGTATAGGTTAAAGAAAGCTATAATATTTATTGGGAATGTCCATTGTGTTGTTTTTGTGTATTCTTCAGACTCCCATTACATACGATGCATTGATGAGAATGGATTACTTGGAAATGGCCATCAATGAATCAATGCGTCTCCTTCCTACGGCCCCACGTTTAGAAAGGTCCGCTAAGAAAACGGTGGTGATCAATGGCTTGACCATACCAGAAGGGACTCTTGTTGGAATTCCTACATATGTTTTAAGTCATGACCCGGATATCTGGGAGTCTCCTGGAGAGTTCAGGCCGGAGAGGTGATGTTTGTCATTTCTCACACACTCATTATTTTTCATAGCCACAATTTTTCTCACTTCAGCTTTTCTCACAACTGAATCTAGTGGTGATTTATGCAGTTTACATAACTGCATGCCAAATTTAAGCCGGCTAAGCATTACGTTTTTTTTCTTACATCATTGGAATTTGCAACTACTATAAAAGCTTAAGAATGGTAAGGAAACATGCTTAGACACTGTGTATTTTATGAAATTACGCACAAGCTAGTCTTTTAATTTCTGTTTGGTTTTATTATGGGAAGAGGTTATACAAAGCAGATTTTCCAACCAAATGCCAGCTGTCTTCAAACATTCAATTTCACTGAAGTAAGAATGGCTTAACTGAATATATCTACAGGTTCAGCCCGGAGAATAAGTCTGAGTTTCTCCAGTACGCTTTCATACCTTTTGGACTCGGGCCTCGAAACTGCATTGGAATGAGATATGCTGTTATGATCATGAAACTTTTTGTCGTGAAGCTGCTTCAGAACTTCAGTGTGGAAACATGTAAAGAGACACAGGTTGGTTCACTGACTGGTGTTACTGATATTTGTGAGATGAACTGTGTTTTACCTCTTTTTTCTCTTTTTTTTTTCTTTAGATCCCTTTAGAAATTAATGTTACATTTCAACCGAAGGTTCCCATCACACTCAAGTTAATACCAAGATCTTGCAATAAAAAGCAATAATTCTGGTCAAAAACAGATATGTATAATAATGTTGTCATAACTGTGTTTGTCCACAAGATGCCACTGTAGTTCGCCAGCAACCCCAGCGGACTACAGTGGCTTTAGAACTACATTTCCATACATTCTTTCGCACACACACCTGGTCTCTCATCTACACTGATTTACAACCACAGCTGTCTCCGTTCTCTGTGATTACCTGGACTATATATTCAGTCATTCATCCTCTGTTTGTCAGTTGGTCGTTGTCATTGTTGGTATGTTGTTTCTGATCTTGATCTTGCTATTGTATCTTGTCTTAGTGTTAAAGTTTAGTCCAAGTTTAATCTGTTTGAGTTGTTTGTTTGTTTGTTTATTTTGTTAATTTGTTACTTTGATTTTTGGATTTTGTCACTGTTGCTGCACTTTCACATTAAAGATCTGCACTTGGATTCTACACCCGTTTTTGTTCCTGTTTCAATCCTGAAACGTGACAAATGTATTATGTGTTATTTACATGATTATAATTGCATTTTAACATCTTTTATGTTCTTTTACGCCACTCATTTCACACACAATAATATACTTTATACTGTTTTAGAATCAAAGAAATCAGTTATAGATACAGACTACATCATGAATGTTTATAATTGTATCGTATTAAAGATGTTGAGTTTTTGTAATGAATCAAAAGACATGTTAGCATGCCATCAGATTAATGCAAATAAAATATTCCAATGTGTGAAATACATTGAGTGTAAATGGGCAGTTTGTTAGTCACTGCACACAGAAAGCCTGTAAAGCAGAGTCCAGTGTCCTGTGTTTTATTTGGCAATGAAGACTAAACAGGATGAGGCTGTTTGTTTTCTCGCCACTTACAGCTGTACTTGTGCTTCCATAGCCTATAACACTCAACTTTAAAAATAAAACCCTTTTATGCTGTGGGAAGTTTTTCTAATAGAATAGCCCTTACGTTTTGCACTACTGTACAACTAAAAGAATATACAGTTGAAGTCAGAATTCCCCCCCACACCCCCCAGAATTTTTTTTCTTTTTTGAATATTTGCCAAATGATGTTTAACAGAGCAAGGAAACTTTCACAGTATGTCTGATAATATTTTTTCTTCTGGAGAAAGTCTAATTGGTTTTATTTTGGCTAAATTGAAAGCAGTTTTAAATTTTTTAAAAAACATTTTAAGGTCAAAATTATCAGCCTCTTTAAGCTATATTTTCCTTCGATAGTCTACAGAACAAACCATTGTTATAAAATAACTTGCCCAATTACCCTAACCTGCCTAGTTAACCTAACTAACCTAGTTAAGCCTTTAAATGTCACTTTAAGCTGTACAGAAGTGTCTTGAAAATATCTAGTAAAATATTATTTACTGTCATCATGGCAAAGATAAAATAAATCAGTAATTAGAAATGAATTATTAAAACAAATATGTTTAGAAATGTGTTGAAAAGAATCTTCTCTCCGTTAAACAAAAATTGGGGGAAAACATAAAAGGGTGCCAATAATAATGACTGTGATTTTTTTTAAATTAATAAATTGAGTTGAGGTTTACTTGTATAAAGCTTTTCAGAATAATTACTGTTCACAAGCAGCTTTAAAACAGTTAAAGGATATTATACATGGAGTTATTCACAATAGAATGTTTTAGCTGTTGCACCATTAAATATTTTCAGTTGACCTCAGCATTGAATGTGATGTAACCAGCTGTAAATCCGGCATACATTTTTCCTCTTTTCAATCTGTTCTGAGAAAGTCTCACATTTAACTTGTTAGTTAAACCAAAATGTTTTCAGGCCTTTGTTTGAAATGTTTTATAGGGTCAAGAACTTTGTTGCAAGACCCTGGTTACATTTCTGGGAAATCCTGCTCATTTATTCAGTTCCATTTCCTGCTGACTCAACTTTCAGCAAGCAGTTTTCTTGTTTTTGATAAGAAACTGTTCATTATTTTTCATTATTTCTCTGTAATGTCAAGGAAAACCATTGACCGATTTGATTAGAAAACAGAATAAATCTCATTAAAATGGGAAAAACACCAAAAGAAATGTTGTACAGGTTTCTGTAAAATACTCCAGAAGACAGGCAGGATACTCAAAGTCATGCTGGTAGTAAGATTTTGAGAACATTACATCAGTTTATTACATGGCTCTGTGGAATGCTTGATGCTTTTATATATATATATATATAAATATATATATATATATATATATATACACACAAATATATATATATACACACAAACACACACACACACAGCGGAGAACATGCCATGTTTTTTTTTCCTGGGAATAATATTTCTAAAGAAGATGCTGACATGGAATTAAACCAGATTTTGACAAAACCCAAACAATAGAAGCATACAAATAAAACAAAAAAAAATTTTTTTTTTTTTTTTTGTATTGTGCAATAACAATGAAATGACACAAGGAGGAAGTGCTGCACTACTGAAACATGGTGCCTGCTACTGATTTAATGTACAACCAATAAACCAAATTTGCTTATATCATGTACAGGATCCCGTCAAATTTATTAATTTAAAGTTTGATATTTCGAAAAATATTTTATAATGCCCATGAAGGATTAAATATTCAAAAGAATTAGGTTTTATTGTATGTGACTGTAAATACATGAAATACAAGTTATGCGACCCTTGGGTTGGAGAGATATATTAAAAGAGATTGTATGAAATCAGAGGCGTAGATTTGCTTTTGATATTGGTGGGGACCTAATTTGACAACTAAATAAATCTTAAATAACTTAAATAAATCAAATACAATTAGTAATAAAACCAACATTAAATAAAGCATGTATTATGGTACAAAAGTAAATTGACAAGAAAGCAATGCAGAACTCTAGAAAGGGGGAGGCATATACAGTAACCATTTTTTCTCGATTTTTCTTTTCATAATCGTCGTGGATGCCAAAATCGACACTTTTTTTTATTATTAATTGCACATCCATGGTTACTATGGTGGACTTGTAACGAACTTTCAAGTGACTGACACTTTTCTTTGAAATGTAGCTGCTTTCCATGTGTCACCTGAGTCTTGCACAGCCTGACTGGAAAATTTCGACTAAGTATTGTTTTATTTTGAAGGTGATTAAATTATTAGTGGGGACATTTTAATAACCTGTGGATGTTGGTGGGGACACAACCCCTTCGTCTATACAACTTTGTATGACATTCTTAAATAAACAGTACACACACTGAGGATGGTTTTATTTTTGAGGTTAGCCGATGGACTAGTAAAGACAGACATCTTGTGTTGGAAAAGTGAAACTGCGCGTAGTTTCAACTTTATTTATTTAACTGTGTACTTGCTAAAGTCCAGCATCCGGGGATTCCGTCATCCGGGCTTTGGCTCTGCCTTGTTCTTTCTCTGTTTATAAACAGAAAGAGCTCAGAATGGTCGATGCGTCATGACGTCACTTCTTCAACCACGTCACATTATTTTGACCTTCCAAAATGTTTTTCATATCGACCGAGAAGTACCACACACGAAAAACGACATGTAAAAGTTACGATTCGAGCAACCGCGCTTGCAAAGGACTTCAAATCAAGCTCATTTTTATTGCCACATGTAACGCACGTGTCGTCCGGTTCCAGGAACTGCAACAACATTAACCTTTAATTTGCCAAAGAGCAGAGAGTTGAGAATCATCAGGCAATTGCCACGCTTATAAAACAAAGCAGATTAAACTTACAAGAAATATCAGGGACATCCCATCACTCCCCATTCCCTGTTTCAAAACGACTAAATGGTTTATAAGCGATTAAAACACGCGACGCTCCGGTCCGCTATTCCATGACGTGTTTTCCGCGCGCCGTCTCCATGTTTTGACTACCACCACCAACAGCAACACAGTGAACCCTGCCAACACATAGCCGTTGCGCTTGCAATCCCCTCTGTGTTTTTCAACAAAATGGCTGATTTAGGGGATGATACCGGAGCGAGAGCCTTACTCGCCCTCAAATCTGCGCCTTGTAGCCCGGTGGCCGTGTCTATCCCGCCCGTGTACACGCTCTCCTCCTCGACTTCGCCCGGGATCACATCATCCATGCCCCTCTCCTCTCCGTCGCAGGCCCTCGCCCGCCTGGAAGGCAGGGACTTCGAGTTCGTTATGCGCCAGCGGACGGTCACCGTGGGCCGGAATTCCTCGCACGGCTCCGTGGATGTCAACATGGGCCACTCGAGCTTCATTTCCAGGCGACATCTGCAAATCGCCTTCGAGGAGCCGCATTTCTACCTGCGCTGCCTCGGCAAGAACGGTGTGTTCGTCGACGGCGTTTTCCAGAGGAGAGGCGCACCCCCGCTTGCCCTGCCGAGGGAGTAAGTTACTAAAATCAGATCTCTTACCTCAAATTAGCTTGTGTGGGCAGATGGCGAGTACCTATTCACTTAGAGAGCGCATACAAGAGATTAAAATAACGTGCTTAATGCAGCGGCTACATAATCCGACTCAACTGCAAGCATGCTAGTGCAGTCACGAGAGCTGTCACAAACTGCTTTCAAGACCCTTGCAGTTCACAAAGTCTGTTTAGTGAGTAGGGAGCAGCTTTGCAATGGTATTCCAGCATGAAAAACTTTGTGTTTTTACTATTGTTAATTGTGACAGGCAACCAGTTTAAGACGAAATTCACTAAAATGACTTTTATGTTATGTTATTCTCAACTTTACTTTAAGTTTAGTTGTACAACCTTTCAATACAACTACCATATCTATAAATTGAAACTATGAATGAGTTCCACTGGAAAAATGCAAGTAACTCGAGGGTATGTAAACAAAAACAGAATTTCAAGTATTGCTGGATTTATCAATGGATCTAGACTTATAAGTTAGAAATAAAAGTCCTTGTTGTCATAGTGTTTTTTTTTTTAACTCTTGGGTGTCTGTTTTGTAGAGGCTAGCATTCTAGATGTGTTAAAATACAAACATGAAAAGTTAAATGTTTCACATTGTGACCACAGGAACTGTGCACAGCAGAGACGTGATCCGCCGCTTGATTTTGTGGGCAGATGTGAGATGCAGGCCGCATTTATGACACACATCAGTAGTAACCACTTTATGATGTTAAGCAGACAAAGAACAAAGGGAAAAACCTGGTGATACTATAATGAAGTACCTCTAGCAACAACATTTAGTGGTGTGGGCATTGTTTGTACACAATCACAATGCACTCGTCTTAGTTTTGATAATTGCAGTTCTCAAGAGTTTCATCAACATTTCAATTCAATTTATTTAAACTAAAAAGAAAAACTTTAGCAAAGTGATTTCAAATGATTTGAGTTTTCAATTAATTATTGAATGTACAGTGCTCAACACAATTAGGTACACCCCCTTTTGAAAATAAATTTTTGTATCTATTTTTCAGTGAATATAGGCAATGTATTTTGGTGCATTTAAACAAAGCAGATTTATTTATTAAAATAATATTTTAGACACCAAACATTCAGAAATTCAAAGATAATACATTTAAATTCATGCAGAATTTAGAAAAAAACAAATAATTAAAACCTACAAAATTTCAACAATGTTTTTTCATATTTTTGCTTCTCTTTAAGTCTTACATTTGTATTTAATATTTTTCTATAACTTATAAATTTGGCTGTAAGTTATTTTGTTAGAAAAGCTTCAGATTTGGCTTCGGTACTGACTAATCTAATGTATATGCACAAATATAATATTGTATAGCTGATATACAATATATATTATATTTGCTGAGCACTGTATGTGTAGAATGACTATATAGACAGTGTAGAAGACAGTAAACAAAAAAATATTTTTCTTATAAAGAAACAAAAAAATATATATATGCAGTTATCATGAAGACTTTGCATATATTTTACAGTTTATAATGTAGTGTCACCAATAATTAAATACAACAGTTTGAGCTATATACTATTTTAATGTACCTTTAAATTATTCAAGTTTTCAAACTACTAAATTACTCTCTTTTTGCAAATAGCTAAATTTATATTTAAATATATTTGCAATTTGACTTTGAATTGCATTTACATGCACATAAAGAGCAATAAAAAAAGTGTTATAATGAAAAATCTTGACTAACAATATTTGAGCAGTGATATGATGTTTATTACAGTTCTCAATGCAAAACATCAGTTAGAAACTTTTTATTTTATTCCAAGTTCAGTTCAAATGATCTCAACTTCTTTTAGAAATATTATTAATTAATAAACCTTTATATTTATGTAAACATAAACAGTAAAACCTTTAAAGTAGTAATATGACATTGTTCATAATCATTTTTCTTGCCATCAAGTTTTCTTTCTTTGTTATTTTATTTCAAATTGTTTGTTTTCAGATTTCTTTTATAATGTTATGTATTTTTTTTTAAATTACTTATTTACATAAAAAGTAAAAAAAAGATCAACATTTTTTTTTATCTCACTTAAAAAAATGTGTAAAAATCAATCAGTAAAACTTTTCATTTGGTGTGCTTGCACTGAGTTGCGTCACCTTTAGAGAACCTCTAAAGTCATCAGTGATCCAAGTTCATTAGATGTTTTGGATAAAGTGTACCACAACCGGTTTCAATAGCACTAATCTGTGGGGCTGATCAGTATGAAATCACTTCTCATGCCTTTGACCGTTTAAGCCTAAAATGTAAACACTAACATTTGAAAAGTGGTTAAACTAGTTAACTAGATCAGACTGATGCTTGTGCTGCTGAACAGCAATGTTGAGGCTTCTCAAATTGTATTAAAATCACAATTTGACTTCCTTGTTCTTATCAGAATTGTTTTCGCGGCGTCTCGGTGTGTGCCATCTGCCTTATCAATGCAGAATAGGCCTGTGAAGCTTGTTGTCATGGAAGTCGGAGCGACTATTCCTGCAGACTGCTGTGAAAACACGGACACATTGAACCCGTAATGGGTGCATGCCAAACCAGCCATTCAAAACAACTGCAGTGTGTATGCTGTAGCATTAAAAGTGGCTTCCTGGTGCAGCACTTGTGTAAATACATCCAGTGGAGGCGGTGCAGCAGTTCATCATTCTCTTTGGCTGCACTGCAGACAATTCGAAAACACAAAAGAGGAGTGGAGGGGAGGATTCATTTTTACTCGAAAGTTTACTTTTTATTGGTCCCAATTACAGATTACAGTTATGTAATCCTTTTTTTTTTTTGCACATCAACATTTTCTTGTTTACATTTGCTCTCCATTGACCTTTGTTAATGAGGATTTATAAAGCTAAATATTCATAAAGCCTTTACAATTAAGGATATACAGTTGAAATCAGAATTAGTAGCCCCTTTTTGATTTATTTATTTTTTTTCTTTTTTAAATATTTCCCAAATCATGTTTAACAGAGCAAGGTATTTTTCACAGTATGTCTGATAATATTTTTTCTTCTGGAGAAAGCCTTATTTGATTTATTTTGGCTAGAATAAAAGCAGCTTTAATTTTTTAAACACCATTTCAAGGACAAAATTATTAGCCCCTTAAGCCATATATTTTTTTCGTTTGCCTACAAAACAAACCATCGTTATACAAAAACTTGCTTAATTACTCTAACCTGCCTAATTAACCTAGTTAAGCACTTTAAGCTGTAAAGAAGTGTCTTGAAAAATATCTAGTCAAATATTATTTACTGTCATCTTGGCAAAAATAAACAGGAGGGCTAATATTTCTGGAGGCTAATAATTCTGACTTCAACTGTATATATTTAATGTACCTAAATACTTCTACTTTTCTATTGTTTTTCAATGTAATTGCGTGCTTGATAGATGTGAGTGACCAATATGCTCGGATCTTTTGAAGGGTCATGAGCGGTGTGTATTTTAGGACTGTGTCAAGCTGAAAGATTTTCAGCTGGCCACCAAAGTTTTTTTTTTCTACTGCAAAAACATTTTTTTGTAAACAAAACAAAATCCGCTCAGCTGTAAGAGCTTCTGCAATTCTCAAAGCATTTAAAAAATGGGAGGGCTCAGTGGTGAGTGTAATGCAGAGTTCAGACTGCACGATTTTAGCCCCGATTTTGACTTGTCGACAGGTTTTGAGAAATCGTAGACATGCTTGAAATCACTGTTAAATCGGTGCTCGTTCTCGCGAGTAACAATCACACAGTGTGAACTTTCAAAGACGCAATCTGAAAAGTCACGGAGGAGTCGCTGATGCCCATGAGAAATTTGGCATGCTAAATATCTGGAGTTGTCAGCGATTCAAATCATGCCATTTGAAATTAGTTTTGACTGAAAATAACATCGGCGATTACCTACAGCCAATGAGAGAGCAGCATCCACTAGTGTGGGTATCTGCAGGCCAGGGAGGTTGTGGGAGAAGTTAAAAGCGCTCATTTTCAGTTTATTTGGAACCAAGAAATGGAGGGAAAACATGTGCTTTGTTTGACGTGTTATGTGCAATATCACAACCGGATCAAAAACGAAAAAAAGTTGAGGAGAAATGGCTAATTCCCTTTAAACCCTACATGTTTTTGGTTGTGAGACATAGTTGGAGAAAGTTGTCAGCGATTTTTCCTATTGTAAAGTCGTGCAATGCGAAACCCCTTGTCGCTGATCCATCTTGCAGTGTAAACAAAGCAGCGACAAAATGCTAGCCCAGATAGTCATGCAGTGTGAAAACATCTGTGACAAGATTACTTAAAAAAAAAATGCAGCCTGAACTCGGCATAAAACACACACTCAGTGCCTTTCTTCCATTGACAACATCCGAAAGAAAATGTTCAGCTGGTGTTTCTGGGTAGCATTAACACTTCGGTGGACACACACCCTTAAGTGGCTGGAAAGTTGCTTTATCAACACCAGAATAAATGCTATTTATTTTTTATTTATAACTATTATTTCATGTTCATTATTTAATGTTCCACAATATACAATATTTATTGTATTAATCATCTAGTAAATGCAGCTTTGGTGAGCATAAGAGTGAACTAAATTTAATGTTGTATCTTTACAGGTTTTTATGAACATAAATGACTTCCTACAATATTGTGCTGACCTTTAGATTGATGTGAGATGAATTAATTTTAATTGCTAATTGCAATTTAATGTATTTTTGTTTTTTGCAGGTGCACATTTCGATTTCCCAGTACGGTGATCAAGATTCAGTTTACCTCGCTCTACCATAAAGAGACACAAAAGGAGGAGGCTCCTGTATCCCCTGTGAGACCTCTTTACCCTCAAATCTCTCCGCTGAAAATCACCATTCCCGACAACGACTTCAAAACTATGATGAGTCCCCTGCCTTCACCGACAGGAACTATTAGGTATGACTTCATCCGCTACACAGAGAAAACACCATTTCATTAGAGAAGCACTTCTTTTCCACATCTTGCTGAAGGTAAATTACTTTGCTTATTAATGATTGAATAGTTTTTAGTAAGTTATTCATTTCTAGCCTATTGTTAATATGACAATAATGTATCCATAATCCTCTAATGTCACTTCTTACCAAGTTATTTCCAAAGTATATTCCTGCATTTATACTGAAACAGACTTGAAATTAAGCAATTAGTGTTTCCCAGTACTGGGTTGCAGCTGGAGGGGCATCTACTGCGTAATAACATATGCTGATTAAGTTGGCAGTTCATTCTGCTGTGGTGACCCCTGATTAATAAAGAGACTAAGTTGAAAAGAAAATAAATGAATGAAATTAAGCTTTTAACTTTAACTTAAGTTTGTTTTGTTTTGCTGTAAAGAAATCATTTTAAATGGCAAAATAAATGTCTCAATGGCCATAAAAGCTCTTCTACAGGCTCAAGAATATATTTTCTGTCGCAGAATATCATTTTTATTTTTGTATGATGCACTGAAACAAAGTCTGTAGAGAAAAGAAAAAAATAGAGGTGAATCTCAGAATACTATAGTTTTTTTATTGTTGTTCAAGGTCTCAGAAAATTGTCTTCAATCTGTGATCTGAATACATTTTACACTGTAACACATGTAAACTGAATTATAAACTTAAAATAAAGCAATACATTTTTTTGTATTCAGCAAATTATGACCGGTTTAACTAAGTTCTGGATTTGCTTTATAGAAATCACATTTAATGGGAAGGCAAACATCTGAATTTCATTGGAAACCCTAGGATATATTTTCTGTGTAGCAGAATATCTCTACATCATTTTTCTATTTGTATGATGTGTTTAAACAAAGCCTGTGGAGAAAAGAGAAAATGCAGAGATGAATCTCAGTATACTATAGTTTTCTACCATTATTCAAGGTCTCATAAGATTGTCTTCATTCTGTAATCTGAAAACATTTTACACTGTAACATATGTTAACTGAATTATAAACTTAAAATTAACCAATAATTTTTTTTTAGCGAATTATGACTTGTTTCTTGACTAAGTTTTGCATTTGCTATATAGAAATCACATTCAATGGCAAGGCAAACATCTGAATTTCTTTAGAAATTCTAAAATATATTTTCTGTGTAGCGAAATATCTCTAAATCACTTGTTGTTGTATGATGCTTGTGAAGAAAATAGTAAAGAATCTCAGAATAATACAGTTTTCTACAATCATTTAAGGTCTCAGAAGATTCTATAACTACAATACACTTCCAAACTATATTCCTGCATTTACATCGAACAATCAGGATTAGCATGTGAAAACAAATGCTTGGTTTTGAAGCTGTCATGATTGATTGTGTATGTAGTAGTGTTGGGAAAAGTCTGCCCCTTGCGGCCTCTTTGCTCTTCTGCACCACGTGTGGCTCTCAAAGCGCGCATGCTGTGTGCACATACCATATATGGCATGTGCTGAGCTTGGAGCGCTCTTATTGGTCAGTTGCAAAGTGTTGTGGTTTGGTGTTTTGAGCCACAGATAGTTTCCTTTTTTTCCGAGCCCTCCAAACACCCCCCTTCATCCCACTCCTTGGACTGCTCCTACACCCAACACAAACACACACACACTCACACACACACACATGCTCTGTCCTTCCTGATTTCTTCCTTTACTGAGGGGAATGTTTCCTACTATTCAGCTCTGCAAGCGTTAGAGCTGGTTTTCCAATGGTATTTTGCTCTTGTAGGATTCAGGCCGTGTGGAGTGATAGATAATGGACGTTTCCCAGATTGTCGGCCTCCTGCACAAACAGCAGATGTGTGTAAAGCTTTGAATTCCACACACATGGAGTTGCTTGAACAACTGCCATGTACAGTACAACCAGCAATACCAGCCTCTCCTTTGCACATGTTTGACCTCACTGTCTGTTTTCCTGCTGCGCTTTGGAGAAGTCAATAACACTTTACTGGAAGCTTCAGTTTGGTAGAGAGTTTAATGCAGCATAAATGAAGAATGAATCATTTTATACAGTGTTTGTTTATTATTTTAGGTTAATCGTTTAAGTATAGATTTTTATGTTGTTAATTTATATGCGTTTTAAATCACTGAAATGAGGCCAGAAAAAGGAGTACATATATTTACTCAAAATGTTTGCCTTCTGAAATACAGTTAAAAGCGTTAACACTTAAATACTATTACAATTTAGGATGTTTTCCCAATTTATTATATGTTTTAAACATTATTTTTGCTCTCTGTGATGCTGAATATGATTTATTTTCATCAGTCGTTATACTAGTATTTGATATCAGAGGATCTTTCTGAAGTAGTAATAATACTGGTAATATTTAATAATAATTTGTTCTCAAGCATTTGTAATTATTATAAAACTTTGAAGGTCTCGAAGTTTCACCTTTCAGAACACATTCATTCATCATAATAATATCAGTTTTGATTAATATAATGCTCAATAAAACATTCATTTAAACTTCTTTAACTGGCCTCAAACCTTTTGAACAGTGTTAACATGGGATTAAATAAACCAATGTAGCCTCTCTCTAAAGTGTTACTAATAAAACTGACTGTTAGATGGAATTTGGGATGAATATAATTGTATTATTATTATTTAGAAGAGATTTCGGTTCAGTTCAGTGGGTTAATGATCAATTGGTCAAATAGTTGTCCTCTGTAAATCATTGCTGCACATGGCCCTTTGGAATCATGTGGATTTGCTGTGGTTCACCACCCTTACTGTATAAATTGAACTAGAGTACCACTCAAAGTGTCAGCTTGGTATTGCTTCTAGTACAACTGTATTGTATTAGCTGACTGAAAACATGCTTCAGTGAGATCATCAGATCAAATCATGTAAACTAGTAAAAAATTAAATGACAAAAAATAATGAAGTCAAAATGGTAAAACACAGCTTCATAACATTTAATAGGGAAAAAACATTTTTAGGATACAATTTGTGCAATCAACTGTGTGATATTTTAGCAGAAATTCACTGGATTCTGCCAACAGACTACATCACAAGCACTTCTTCACAAAAACATGATAGAGCAAATATAACCAGTTAATGTTCGCTTAAAATGAGAATAAACATGGTAATCACAGGAATAAAAGAATGATTTAATTAATGCCTTTAATGGCATATAAATATTGTCATATAACTACAAATGTAAAATGAAATTATGAATTAAAAATGCATGAACTCCATGTATATACATGCATATCACCACATGTATTTATAATTAATGCATTTTTTTTCCCTGGCATTATAATAGGAGCCAAATCCCTCCCATTTTGAGGTCCACCGCAACAGTACGCAGACGTGTATTAACATGTCTCCGTAGTAGCGCATAAAATCGCAACAAGACAGGATATGTGCAAAGCAACTAGGAATAAAAGATCTGTTCAGCTCACTGTGATCATCAATCATCATCAAATGTGTTCAAGAATGAGTTTTACACATTTGAAACGTTTTTAAAACAGTGCATGTTTGTAATTAATACAGTAAAATCACTACATCATTTACACAACAGCCACATGTCAGTACAATTATACAAGTAGACGCTTTTTTCCCATGTTGTGGACTTAAATCAGGTTTATTTTGTACATTTAACATGACCGATATCCATGCAGCTATGTATTTTAATGTGTATCCTGTCACATTTGCCGTGCAAAAACAGGGGAAAGCTAAATGTGTGTGTGCACACTTTATAACATTGTATGCGACTCGCTGTTGCAGAAAGGCTTAAAGGGTCACGAAACACCAAAACACATTTTTTGAGCTGTTGACAGTCATATATGTGTCCCACACTGCTAAAAACACTATTAGGACACCTATATTTCACTAAAAAGTGTAAATTGGTTGTTTTTGCGTTTTTTCAAGCAAATTCGTACTTCCTGTTTGAAACGAATTTTTGAAGCTGCGTCACGGCCATGACATAATAGCGTGTATTCCAGCGTGCAGACTGGGCGTCTGTGCCTGAGTGAGTCTTATTACGTCTTACAGTGTCATGCATTAATGCATGAGTAAGGCTTGGGTCAAACCAATCAGCGCGCTCTATTGTGCAACTTCATTAATATTCATTTCTGTCACCGTGTTTACACCACAAAGACGCCACGTTGTGTTGGCAAAACAAGCGTGAAGTGTTGCTTTTATAGTTTGCTGCTGTTAAGTTTCGTTTTCATTTTCTCTCTGTGAGAGCTTATCTGGATCACGTCTGGATTAACAGTGTACGCGGCTCGCGACAACAATAACTTACGTGTCTAAAGCCTGATTTATACTTCTGCGTCAAACACCGGCGTATGCTACGGCGCTGACGCATAGCCCTTCGCCATGGCCATCGCCGTCACTGACGTGCACCTCTCAAAAAATGTAACTACACGTCGCAACGACGCGTAGCATAAGCTCTGTGATTGGTCGGCTTGGTAGCGCTGACGAGTCTGGGCGGGACCGAGAGGCGCGCGAATGGCGCGACGCCGCGCGAGCGATTGTTTACAAGTGTGGAGTCCCATGAAGGAGCTCGGGATGGAAAGTTTTGTTTTGTGTTTACCTCATAGTTAAAGTTGTTGCACGTCCGCCGGTTCCTGCCTCAAAATGAGCGAGTTTGAGCCACTTGTACATCCCGGAAGTGTTCAGGAAATGCAAGAAAGTAGCGAAGAAACTCGACACAGAGGAACATTTACACCTCACTGCCAACTAGCGTTTCGGAAGTGTTAATGCAGACCGGCAGAGACAGCGCGCAGAAGTATAAATGCACAGCCACGCGCGTTGCCTGCGCCGTGGGTTACGCCGGTCACCTGACGCAGAAGTATAAATCAGGCTTAAGGAGGATTATTGTTTACCTGAGAGCTGTTCTCATCTGCAAACGCTGAAATCTGGATTTGCTTGTAGTCTTCTCTTCATAAAGACGCGGCTCTAGTTGCTGGTGATTGTCCTGTCTCTACAGATTTGGTAAGTGAGCGACCAGTG